GAGGTCTAAGACCCAAGCTTTGAGAAGCACTGGTATAATTGGCAACAGATATATGCAACATAAGACATCATTTGAGATGATTACTGTCCTCTGATTTCAATTTAAAATGATCTCCAACTCATTATGTAGATAATGCTTTATTTAAACTCATTTTTATATTTAGTCTGCACAGCTCCTCTGTATCATGCAATCAGCCAAAAAGTAGTACATGAGTGACTTCTGAGTATCTACTACATATAAGCCAAGGGCTGGATGATTTTTTTTTTAAAGTTCTGTTTATGGGAATCTTAGCTCAAAGTCTAAACCGTGAGGCAGAAGCAAGAAGAACATTGTTTCTCTCAGGGATTATGTATAATAGTAAAAATTCTCAAGAATCAATACATGGCAATGAAAACAACACCAAGATACCAACAAAACAAAGTTTTTCCCTTAACAATCTTAATTAGTCCTAAAGGCAAATATGGTGGCATTTTCCACTACTACATACACTGAAGTATTTACCAGGTTCATTCAGATGTTCCCTCCCAGGAAGCTGCTCAGCATTAATGTCTCCTAAATCACCAGTTTTGGAATCAATGGTTGCCTGAGAGAGCTCTTTTTCAAAAGCCTTGATCTCTTCAGCACTTGCCATTCTATCTTCTGATTCTGTAAACACTCTAATAATACCATCACTGTAAAGAAAAACAATTTTTTTTTATTTTAAAAGTTATTGCCTTAGGGTATTAACATTATACCTGAATAATCCAAAGCAAAAATAATCTACATTTATGAATATAAGAAACCTTATTATGTATATTGTGGAGTATAGAACTATGCTGCCTTCAACATACATTACTCTCTCTTATGTCAACTATTTAAGGGAGAAATTACTGAAAAAAAAACATAGAAGTATATATTTAATACAAACTTAAACTCCAAATTAAATATTTTATCATCATAAAAATCTAGAGATACAGTAAGACCACTAATATCAATTTTATGTAGGTATTATGGTACAGAGAAAGGTACTATGCTGGGTTACTGTATAAGAGACTCACAGACCCAACACAAGGCTTTAGCAGCTGTTTGGTAGTGGAACACGCACGGTCTTCCTTTATGCTGTAAGAATCAGTAATGTAATCTGCTGAGCCTCAACCTCTATTCTCAGAAAAATTTCTGCGTTTCCATGATTTCTCAATTCTATATTTTGAGATAGGAGAGGCAAGTTAGCCACTTTCAGCTTTGTTAATCCTTCCTAATTGTATAGAAAACCTGTTTCTTATTTAACCTTCCACTAACATTTTTCTTTAACATTAAATACGCTGGGGGGAGGGATAGAGAAGTAAGCCAACACCAAACCCTTCCCCAGGCAAAAAATAAAACACTTCTGCTTTATTAGACCTTCTCTCCCTTAAGATTGTCATCTTCTTTTTCCATCTTGCCTTCAATCCCAGAGTAATCTATAACCCTTTCCTTCATCTCTCTGCTCAAACAACTCTTTATCTCCTCATATTTGTCCCTTTTCTATCATTTTCTGCCAAAATGTGGTATTGAAAGAGTCACTAATAACACTGCCCAAATCACAT